TGCCAAAAATCCTAAGTCAACGTCTCATACACGTTGCTGTTTAGTCTTTTCACAGGAGAAAGACGAAGTCTACGTATTCAATATCGTAGCACTAAAAGGGTTAACTCTTTTAGCTTAACGTCACATGCGGAACGGACTTGAACAATCCGCATGCTAGCCCGACTCAAACGGTAGTCGGTAAAGGCCCCTAGGGTAACGCCGGTCAACGCGTAACCCTAGGTCAACGCCAGTCAACGCGTTGCGAGCAAAAATTCAGCGTACGACGTTCATAACCCTAGGGTTAACGCCGGTCAACGCGTAACCCTAGGTCAACGCCAGTCAACGCGTTGCGAGCAAAAATTCAACGTACGACATTCGAAACCCTAGAGTTAACGCCGGATAACGTGTAACCCTAAGTCAACGCCAGTCAACGCGTTGCGAGCAAAAATTCAACGTACGACGTTCGAAACCCTATAGTTAACGCCGGACAACGTGTAACCCTAGGTCAACGCCTATCAATGCGTTGCAATGAAAGAATCAAACACTCCGAAGAGTATATGAGTATAAACTACTTCTCAATCCTCCAACAGGTGCATGAGGTTAAACTGCTTCTTAAATACTCCAATAAGGTATATGAGTATAAACTGTTCCCTAATTTTTTGAGAAGTTCCTGGAGAATGTTATTCTTAAGGATAACTCAACAATACGACGCCGGACAACGCGTAGCAGATAAAGACTCGACGCCAACAATCGATGGTCAACTAAATCAGGAACCGACTTCAAAGTTCAAAATTCCGACAACGGTCAGACAATAAATGCAGCACCGAAATTCTTTCAGACATTCGACAAAGCACCGAATAGCCTGAGAATTGAAGGAATCAAGAACGGAAGTCATTCCAAGGTCCCATTACACCGACTGAAGGTTGGGACAATCATATCCAAAGTATTCCAGACTCTTCTATAAAAGAACGAGACTGAAATACTTTGGAGGGGGTATCTGTAGGCATATAAAATTGCTTATAGGTCCCTTAGCTCAGCTCGGCACAAACCGACAAACCAACGAGGCAACGAGATTGACTAATCGCACGCAAGCAACGGAATACGTCCATTCGCGTGCGGGATCAAGCCAAGTGTTCGAAGAGTCAACGAGTCATCCAACCAAGGTCATACTCGGACGAATCACGATCGAATCAAGATCGGTTTCGGACTCCAACTCAGAAGCGGATTTACTGCCTAATCGGGATCCGGATTTACTGCCAAATCAGGTCAACGAATCAAGTCTGGATAAATCAACCACAGAACCGAATCACAGATAGAACCAAAGGCGGAAACACCTCCTTGGTGGCTCGGCGGCCACCAAGGTGGCTCGGCCACCACCGAGCCACCAAGAGGTGGCTCGGTGGCCGAGCCACCAAGGTGGCCGGCCGAGCCACCTCTTGGTGGCTCGGCATGAGCCGAGCCACCTTGAGGTGGCTCGGCCCAGTGCCGGCCACCTTGAGGTGGCCGACCTCTGACACGTGTGCACGGGCACAGGTTCGAGTGCCTATAAATAGGCTAGGCATTGTTCATTTTCAAGGGTTGGAAATTTTGGAGGCGAAGCTCTGCCGGATTCAAGACTCGAAACTTAGAAAAAGTTATACTCAGCTACGGACTTAAAGTCCTGAAGTCGGAGGTTTTCCCACTCATAACGTGCACGTGGGAGGATCACATCTTTCTGATGTTTGTATCGGTCCTCAAGTGCAGTCCACAATTCCTTTGGGTCCTCTACAGTCAGGTATTCGGCCTTCAGGGTCCGATCAATATGTCTCCTGATGTAGATAATGGCTTTCGCCTTATCTATATCAGAGACGATCACTGTAGTAGCAACCTCAGCATTATTTACAGCATTACCCGTACCAGTGGCCGGAGCCGGTGGAGCAGGAGTTGAAATTGTGGCTAATAAGCCCTGGGCACGTAAGTGGAACTTCAGGTCCACATGCCAACTCAAATAATTCTTGCCAGCAGCGTCAAGGACTTCGAAATCAACGCTCGCTATTTTAGCCATTTTATCTATGCATTTGAAAGACATGAATTAATAATAAGGAATTAAAAATTCATGCAATAAACATGTTGCGTGGATCAGCCCGTCACCAAAAAAATAAAAAGTGTCCAAAGTCCGATTATACAGTCCAAAGATAACAAAAAACATAAAATTAAAATACAATTTGGAAAACCCTAGGGGCTCCCTGCATTTTGCAAAAATACCTTCGTCTTCAATGGAATACACCGGTCTTTGACTTTTTACAATTATATCCTCACTACAATTTCTCTCTCAGAAGGAAAAGAAAATGCAAGGAATTTAAATTTGGTGACAAACAGGCTGATCCAAAAACCACAACATTATTTATTTAAACATCCACGCAATTTAATAATAATATATGCAACAGGCATAACAAATTTGGACAGTAAACCCTTGCTTTCTTTGGATTTTTTTTTCTAGACTTCTTTTTGTTTCTATGCGATACTGCCTACTTAATACTTTTAATATCATGTCAACATGAGCACATAAACTTCTGTTTTTTATTTTATTTTTTTTTTGAATAGCAATTAACTAATAGTATTAATTACTAGTTATGCCAACAAATAATGAAAGCAATTAGATTAGATGAACAACAATAAAATTGCTTAATAAACTGAAAATTTCCCGAGTGAACAGTAACCCTCGGTGAACAGTAACAATTTTTTTTTAATTTTCCAGTTGTCATATATTATTCTACGGATTATAGTAATTACCTCTAGATCAAAGATCTAGGGACGATCGATACTAAAGATCCGTAGAACGCTGCCTCCTTGCGATGATCCGTCGAACGCTCCCGCTGCAACAAACCAGATCTCAATGCGCAAAAGAGGAAGGAAATATATTTTTTTTTTATGGCTCAGGGATTCAAGAACACTTTGTGCTGATAACGTGTTTGAAACTCTTACCTAGGCCAAAGGCCTATGATGTATATTTATAGATAGTCAATGTGAATAGGTTGAGTACCCAAGAGTCACCCCCACTTAATGGGGTGTTACACCATCATAATGGGGTGTGAATGGAGGGATAATGAGGGGGAGGCCAAAGGCCTCCCTCATCTCATAATACAAAGTAAATTGCAAAAACATAAAAATGTATGATGTAACAGCTTATTTTGTTAAACCATTATGATGTTGCAGCTTATTTCGCTAAACAATCTAGCAAGAGTCCGAACGTGCCATAGAACCCATCATGTTAGTCACATCAAACAACCTGTATTTAGCACATAATATCTCAATTCATATCCGTAAAAACTTCTTATAACATCTGGTTGTATATATTTGATGTAACACTAACAATAATGTTGCAGTTTAATACCATACATGCGATTGACATTTTCCCTAAACCGGAGGGATGAAAAAAAAGGCGCTTATTTAGGGCAAATGTTAACATTTTTCGCATTTGTATTTCTGTGGGTTTCTTTTGCCCGAGGATGCAATGCAAATATTGCTGGAATCTTGAATCCTTTATCCACTTAACTAAAACGAGATTCAGATGAAGATCGTGGACGCGCATCTTATCACAACATCACTTGCATAAACTTATCAAATACAATAGCATATTTAGAATTTGTCCGCAGTGTTTGAAACACAAAACGAACGAGGATAACACGAACAAGAGAAACTGGTAGCACGAGTTGATGTCCTTGAAGATTCAACAAAGATACATAACAACTACAGACGTAACCCAACAAAAAGATACTGGTAACAGTTCATGATCTAAAATTTTCCGGTCTGAGAAGATGCCAAACATACTCGGAAGAAGTAGCACAAATGCAGAAAGCATAATAATATTAGGGGGTGTTAGTCAATTGGGACATTTTCATGTAAAATGGGATAATTATTAAAGTGGAATAATATTTCGCTAGTGGGATATTTTAGTGGGATAACTAGGAACAATTTTGTGAAGCGGGATATTTTGATAAAATAACGTGGGATAAATTTTTATAATCATGAAGTATATATTTATGCATTTTGAAGATTTAAATACTATTTATGTATTTTAAACTTATTACTATTAATTGATAATTGCTTAAAAGAATGTTCGTTACTATTAAATAACTTTTGGTTAGACTATAAGATATTGACAATTATTATTATGATGATGGTCTAATGATGGTGATAGCCATAATAGGAAATAAGTAAAGAAAAAAATAAAAAATAATAAAATAAATACGAGTTCTAGTTTTTTACCACATAGTTCCAAGCTAAAACTTGGAATAATTTGAGAGACTAGAACTCTCATTTTTGTATAGAAAAATAAAAAAAGTGGGATAATTTTGTACAATTATCCCAATTTTAGTTTTGTTAAAATTCTGCTTGACTAACACTGTAAAATTTTATTCTAGTTTTAGTTCTATGTGACTAACACCTTAAAATTTTGTTCTAGATTTAGTTCTATGTGACTTAACACCTTAAAATTTTATCCCACTGATTATCACAGTTCTAATTTTAAGTTCTAGGTGACTAACCCCCTTACAGACATCTGATGGATCATATTTCTGCCAAAAATTAGGTATGTTTAAAGGGAAAAGGGGGGAAAACCAAAAAGAGCCCCCCTAACCCTGTAAATATTCAGTGTAAGCTAGATATCAATTTTGCAACTACAGTGACAACTGCAGAAACCAACAACCATAGCTGATACAAACTAACCCAGCTGAACATATCTACAGTAATAATCCCTGCAGCTGTAACAAATCTCAATGCAACACTTTTAATCAGAGAGATTTTAGTGAGAGTTCAAAATCAGATAATTTATTAGTTGTACAAGAGGGCCTCATTGGCAACTGTAAACCAACAATGTTAGTTAACCCAGGGCAAAAATTTTGTTCAGGAAAAATCGAATAAAGTTGAACCACTTTTTTTCAGTTCAAAATTTAACCCCCAAACCAAATTACTTAGTGGACTGGTCCAGAACTAAACCGGTTTAGACCTAATGGCAGCAAAGCCAGCACAAATGCAAAAAAGCACGAAAGGCAAGGCCATAAAGCCTTCCATAGGCTAATCTCTGAAAACAAAGATAATACCACTTCCAATCAAAGCTACAAAGTAGTACTCGTACTAATAATACACGCATTACTACTAGGTAGAACAGTTAAACATAAGACAAAAAACATAAAAGGTAGCTTCATCACTCCCATTCACTCATTCCTGCCAACTGAAACAAAAAGCAAACAATTCCGCTCCACAGCAAGCAAGCGCATATCCAACATCAAGAATACGTGTATCATCTCGAACACCGGTAAAACTCTGAGCCGGTCAGCAAAAAATCACTGCACACCACAGAGAGTAAGTCAGAAACTACTCGATCGACTATATGAAACATGAGGCAAAGAATTACTGGCCACACACACATCGTGTTGTTTTAAAAAGCTTAAAATGATAGCATGCTGTGTTTATGTTGTTTCTGGCAAAAGTATCAGCTGCTTATGCAGTCTCGTTTGCAAGCTTGTTATAACAGCACAAAGGCATCAAGTAAATGATCTCTGGAAAAGGACTGCATATTAGGATCATAGTTATAAAATATACATCATTTACTATCATTAACTAAACTCCATAAGTCATTGGCCATTAAATGTAATTATGACGGTGGAACATGGCTGGACCACACCAGATAAGTTCCAGCGAAGGTTAAGTCGATAAAATTGGTATTAGATGCCAACAAGAGTTTGGTTCCTATCCAACCCCGGTCAACAAAGTAGATTGCACAACAGAAAAGCAAAATCCCAGCAACGAATGAAGATATTGTTCAAAAGTAATCATTGCAAGTTAACCCCTCAACCCACGCCACAACTTGAAAGTTTGGCATGGTGAAATAGTATCAGTGCAACCTAAAAGCCATGAATTGAAAGCAGATCTAAAAAAGAGAGCTCAGACACGTCAAAGTAGAAAATTACAACTCTCAGATCTCACCGAGCAAACAGTCAGTCGGGTCAGTTTTGGTCAATTTTGGATGAAAACAAACGAAAACAGACCAGACCGAACAGAACCAAGTTATTGCGGTCCAGTTCGGTCATTTCACGTGTTATAAAGAGCACTCATCAACGAGAACAGGGGACATGATAGTTGCATCTGAGAAAGTAGCCCCTCACTCTCGCAGATAATAAATTAAAAAGAAATATCAAAGGAAGACAGAAAGCAAATAAAGAGAAGCAGAAGATAGAAGAATGAAATGGTTTCTAAATTGGCTTGTTAAGCACCTCATGAGAAGATAGACAAGGCCTGGATTTAGGAGAAGCTTACAATTGCATTGAGAGTTGGGCTGAAATCACTCACACGGGGGGGGAGAGAGAACATAAAGAGGGCATGCGCTTTATAGGCTGTGACACTAGGCTTTATAGGATCCAAATTCGTTGCAGAGCTAAATGAAGAGGTGTATTTGGACAGTTTGGGTAAAGCAAGTTGAGAACTTTTCAGCCCGACCTGAACCAAAATGATTACAAAACCGAACTGAATCATAAACATTCGGGCATTTTTTTGTCAGACTTATCGGCTTTCAGCCCTACTACAGAGTTTTGTTCTAGTGAGGGGTTCTTAAGATATAAAAACGGACATACACAAACTCAACATGGAATATACCCCCACAACCTTTCGGCAAAAGGAAACAATACTAACAAAACAAAAACAAAAACAAAATCACAAGACAAACGGCAAGAGGTGATTAATTTACCTGTTGTTGCTGGTAATTCACCTGTTGTTGCTGATAGTTGGGATAACCTGAATAGGCTCCATAAGCATACATGTTCGGATCCTGAGATTGTTGATTATATGCATATGCTGCATCATAGCCTTGCCCATAGCCATAATAATTTCCACCACTCCATTGGTTGGGGTCCTGCTGCTGGGCCTGAAATGGTCCATTTTTTGTTCATTAGTCTCACAAAGATTCAGAAGACCACTGAGATATTGTTTTGAAACACTTACCTGTTTATTTGAAGGACTGCGGCCCCATGAAAGACGAATGTTTTGAGTACCAACCAAAGTTCCATTCAGCATCAGCTTAGCTTCTTCTGCACATTGCCTGCATAAGATACAATACGTACATTACAAAGGTGCTTTACACCAAATTGATCACATGAAAATTTTGGCTGAAGATGGAAAATGCATAATTTAAGAAATAATAAAAACCTAGCAAAAATTCAGAAAGAAGATAGATTGTACAACAAAATATTAACATGTAGAACTGCTATATCAGTTTCTAATGGTCACAAGTGAAGAATGCGAGCCATTGGAAGTAAAATGATTCAATGCGAAAAATCAGATGATTAATCATTAACGAAGGCGACAGGGAATGATAAACAGTCCAAATGCTTCTAGTAGCAATCAGCAGTAACATAAATGGCTGCTGAATGAACTGGAAGCTGAGGAAGAAAATCAGAGGAGAACTAATTTCAAAATTAAATTCAGGAATTTAGTAGCATAACATACTATGTCATGCCAACCATCAGAGAGTTCACATTTCAATAATTTTCAGAAACTCTACAATCAGTTCTCAAGTCCAGACATGCAAACCTGTTCGCAAATTGTACAAAACCACATCGCTTTCCCACAGGTATTTTTACATGGACCAATTCCCCATAGGTACTGAAAAGCCGGCGCAGTTCCTCTTCAGATACATTTGAGTCCAGGCCACCAACAAATATCTGCCAAAAAAATACTGTACTTGTGAGAATAGTATGCTGCGATGACCCATGTTCATGAAAAGGAATTGAACAAAATACCCACTGTAGTATTATCTGGATCACTCTCAGATTGAGTTCCCTGGGAATTCTGATAAGAAGCTGCAATAATAATGAAGTGAAAAAACTTCTCGGAATACATTTAATATATTATTATTGAATTATATATAAAAAATATCAACACGAAAATATGAAAATCATGTTGCACTGGATGATGGAATTTTACCCATCCAACCATTTCAGTATAAAATCTGAAGATACGTCCAAAAGGAAGCGGGTTGTACATACCAAACCAGAGTTTCAAGTGATATAAGATCTACTAGACAAATGTCAGCTTTACTAAAGCAGCAAATGTATTTTCATATATTGATTAATTAGAATGTCACTGAAAAATTGATATGTTACAAAAACTTCGAGTTCCGAGCAACCACGTAATTCTGGAAAGTCAATCCAAGAGTAGATAGGCAGCAGCAGTCCCTTCGACTTCAGGACTGACTGGAATCACATATACTAATACCCAAAAACAAATTCATAATGACCGCAAAATCAGGACAACATATATGAATAATGCTTCCCTTACCTAAAAGGGAATCACTCAAATATATGTGAACACGTAAATGCATCCATCACAAAGGAAACACCTATAATAATATGAGTCTATCACAAAGGACTACATCCCAACTAGTAACCCACACGATCATCAACCTATCTAAAACTTTTTAAAAGTTTTTTCATTATACTTCAGATAATTTTCAAATCATCGTTATATGCTATTTTACCGCTCAAATGTGTAGTCATTCTCAATGGTACTTCCCATCATTACCTGTTGAAAATGACTAAACTATCCTTGGTTTAGTTAACTAAACTTCAGAATACATAACCTAATATTGTCTTCATATTTTTAATACACGGCTTACTTGGGAAAAGAAAAAGAGGAAAGTAGGAAGAGTGTTGATAGTATTTTAAAAATATTACGCCAAATATTATTAAATTCATTTCTAAGTGATTAATCGTTATTATTGTTTAGTGTCTCTCTCTCTCTCTATAGCACATGGACAGACACAATATTAAGAAATTACTGTGAACATGATCATGATTTTCTTTATCTGAGAATAAAACATACATTAACAGGGAATTATGTCATTCTGATACATTTTACCTTTAGGTGAATGTTCTCGCTAAGCTTTCTTTTCCCGATGCACAACCTCACCAACTCACTTGTTTTTTCATTCTCGGATACTTCTAAATTTGTTTTTTTCCCATGTACACCCATATCGTAGACCACCCACCGGAACAATGCATCATATACTCTATGAAACCTGTTGGTCGTTTTTCTGTGTGATCACATATGCCTACACTACAATGACATTGTAGTTTCCTGCAAGTTTCACAGCCTGAAGATAGAAAATTGTAACAGCTAGACAGCACAAAAAAGAGCCAACAGAACAATGGTATTTAACTTCTACCAGCAGACCACAATTTTGAGAACAATCTCGCAAAGGCAAAAAGAACAGTTATCAATGTTAAGCCTACAACAATCCAATGATTTTATAATTATCACCAAATGTACCGGCTGCTGCTATGTTTAAACAACACTATACAAAGGAAAGAGCATATGTATATAACACAGATTAGTAATGATACAAGAGCTCAATCATACAACAAGATAGAGAAAGAAGCAGATCATTAGTGCACGGATACAACATCAAGTTGTTGATGCAGGCTCATTCTACTCCTCTCTTTGAATTTCACAATCAACAAGCCACTTCCTAACTAAAAAGATAACAAAGGCCAGTCAATAAAACCAACAACCATTAAGGCCACACTTGGTAATAAGGTGTGGGATTCAATGGTTTGGAGATCCGATTATAACAAAAACAAAAACAAGTACTACACCCTAGTCACTAATGATTAAATTAGAATGAAAAAGAGTGTAATTCCAACATACCAGGAAATCATTTTGCATTTGTACAAAATTACAAGCTAGAATCCACAGATAGAGATTGGAATTCAACTACTAGTAAGTCATCTCGTACACAATTTGATAATACTACAAGGTCCAATCTAAATGTGTGTCCATCCCGACACCCCATTCAAAAAAGAAGTATTGTCTCCCACAATTTATCTGTTGCATAAAGGTTAAAGTTGAGGAACAAAACTAGAATTGAAATGAAAATAAATAAAACAAGTACATGGCTTAACACATACGAACCTAGAGAATAACAAAATTTAAACTTTAAGAACTCTTATAATATATGACATAAGAATTTCTAACCGAAAGAAAGAAAGAAGGACAAACTAACTAGAAGAGAATCAAATATCCATCACATGGAATATAGCAAATTGAATTGAGGGGAAAACCTAACTGCTTCCTGGTAGAAAAATTCAAAACTTAAAAGGAACTGAGAATAGAAAGAATTAATTCAACTGAGCTTTTAAAGACAAAGGAAACAGAAAGAAGATAAGCTGGCGCTATGCACTACTTCTAAATTTTAAAGAAAGGGAAAACTGAGAAATAGATAGTTGCAAAGTTGTAACGAACTCGACAAGTAAAGGAAATGCAGCGGAAAATGTAGTACGAATTGCACCATAAAGCTGTCGGCGAAATTATGACATTAACAGTAACACTGACCTAACCGAGGCCACGGTTTAAAGATGATATGCATCTCAGCTGAAGTCATTCGCAGGCTCCTAAAATGAGAGCCTCTGGGTATCCTGCTCCGAGACAAGATGAGTTCTTATAAGTTTTTTATTACTTCAAACACATGAGCCCAATTCAGAAAGGAAATTACTAGGAAGGAAATGACTTCTTGCAGATCAATTGAAGCAATGCCGCTTATCTTCAAATGTAAGACTGGGAAATTAAAAGGCTAGTACAATGAATTCCTAGTACCAAAACTAACCATTCATCAATAGTTCCAAATTATTGAAAGAAAACAGAGCTAATGAGCTGAATGCAAATTCCAATCACTAACAGCAGAAAGTAAATAGCCTAGTTGCTATCAAGTCCTGCAAAATTTCTTTCAAGTAGCAGCAAAGAGGCAAAAGATAACCATATAAAAACAGATAGTGCAAATTCAAATGCTTACCTTTTGTAGAATACTGCTGCTGACCACCGACAGTCTTCTTGGTAGTTGCAGCCCCAATACGCATAGGCCTTGAAGAGCAATACACTCCATGCATTTCAGTCATGGCACGTGCTTGCTCATTTGCATCTCCAAACCTAACAAAACCATATCCTTTAGAGCGCCCTGTAGTTCTGTCTGTCACAACTTTAGCACCTTTAACTGATGGATAGTGACTCTTGAAAGTCTCTTGCAACATGTAATCTGTAACATCTGCAGCTAAATCCCCAACAAATATAGTGTAATCAGCACTGTCATCTCCTCCTCGCCTCTCACCTGCACCGAAGGATGCCCAATTCAGCCTAAAAGCTTGATCAGTGTTGGGAATCAGAGTGCCATTGTATGTCAGGAGGACTCTTTCAGCAGTGGCACGAGTTGCAAACTCGATAAAGCCATATCCTTCCAATTGTCCTGTCTGTTTGTTTCGGATAAGTTTCACTGAAACAACCTACAAAAACAAGTAAGAACATTCAGCACTGCATATATAACTTCTGTGAGTTATAGGTTTGCTTTACACATTTCCATATTATATGCATAACAGATAGTAGATTTCACATGAGAAGAATAAAACCAAAACACATCATTATGTTCCATTACTGATGCTTGCAAAATAAATTATCATGCTTCTAACAGATCAGAACATAAATTCTGAATAAAAATACAATATACATGCAAACCCACTGGAAAGCAGTCATATAAAAGAAATCCATAACAAGGATACGTACTAATCATTGTCTGACAACATAATAAATGAAAACATAAAGGTTATGTGTCACATAAATAAGATAGACCTTACCGTTTGGCAAAGGGTTAAGTGAGGGGTTAAGGAGACTTAACCCCTTCTTAACCTGCCAAACACAACAAATCTATATAAGGGTTAAAGTGAGTTAACCCTCCATAATTTGCCAAACATAAAAAATATAGAAGGGTTAAGTTAACCCCTCTAGAGGGGTTAAAATGAGTTAACCCCTCAAAATGAGGGGTTTACTAATACTCCTATTTAGATGGAATAAGAGTTAACCCTTCTAATTAAGTAATTATAAAAAAAATAGTCAAAATCATTGTTATTCCCAAACACTAAAACTGATCATAAGGGCTAAAATAAAACTTATTTAACGGGTTAATAATTTAGTCCTTCGGATTATCAAATGGGCTAAGTACATTAATCATTCTCTTTAACCCTCTTCATTAACCCTTTGCTAAACGGGGCCTAAAACTGAGAGATAATACTCATCACTAAATATGGTTTTCAACTAACCAAATACCTAATAGCATGCCTAATAACACAAAAAAGCAATTACATCCTAGTTTTCCATACATTATGACGAACTAGGATTGATATACATTCCAGTTCCATTCAATTTGGAGTACCCTAAGTGGAGCAGGATTCAAGTTACGAAACCAGGCTAAGGGCATAACTTCATGCTTGAACCCTTACTCCAACCCCAAAAAAATTTACCAAACAAAGTACAGGGAGTTCCCTTAAATTTAGACTCTAGCTTTGAAACTACAAAAAAACCCTGATTTCAAAGATTTACAAACTGAGCCTAGCTTTCTCTTCAAAGTTTCATAAATAAGAACAAATATCAATATAATTTACACAGGACAAACAAATCTAGCACTTTTGTCATAAATGAAGAAAAGATGCGATCATTTCCACCCTAAACCATCAAATTAGAATCGCAATAACTGAGGACAGTAGTGAATCAAGCAAAGCACAAAAAATATTGAACTATATATGCTCTAAGCAAAGATTATTTAAAAATTCAAACTCCCCCGAAAACCCTAACTCCTTTACCTCCCCAGTACTAGCAAAGCAGCCAGAAACAAACGCCTCATCCATCCAATACTGCAGATCTCCAATCCAAAGAGTCCTGATCTCATCGGCCGACGCCGGCTGGTGCTGTGGCTGCACGGGGATCGCGTGCCTGCGTACTGCGTAGGCGGCGGCGCCTGAACCTGACAGGTGCGCGGCGTGATCTGCGACGGCTGCTGGTTCCACATCGCAGCGGAGGCTGTTGTGGATACTTGCTGCGCGCGGCGGAGCCTGCTGCCATGCGGTAGCGCCGGCGGCGGTTGCCATCATCGCGCCATGCTTGCTGCTGCGGGCGGCGGCAGGGGCCATCGGCGAGATGGCCAACGGAAGCTGGCCCATCGGAGGCGGGCATTCTTGGTGCTGTTTGAGTCCATCGGCGGTGCCGCGCCATCTGGGTTGCATCATGCCGCCGGCGGGTGGCATCATGGTGATCGGAGAGAGAAACCCTAACCCTAGCTTTTAGAGAGAGAGAGAGAGAGAGAAACGCTAACCCTAGCTTTTAGCGAGAGACAGAAAAAAGCTAGAGAGTAAGGCTTTTAGGAAAGGGGATGATATTGGGAGAAAATAAAGTTGCGGCTGGGAATATATGAGGCTGGATGAGGCGGTGAGGTACTTGAGGATCAATTACAAATTTAGCCTTTTCCGGAAACGGTGTGCTTCCTTTTTGAAGATTTTGGTTTTGCATTTATTTGTTTCGTCATATGCGCGTTTTTCCTAAGGGGCCGTTTGGTTGGTTTCCTAAAAACCTAGAAAAGAAAATCGGTACAAGGAAACTAATAAAATAATATTTTTATTCATTTTCATCCCTAAAACTCACCCACAACATCTAATAAAATAATATGTTTATCCTCCAACTCATCTTATTTCATCTCATTTCTTACCTTTAAAAATAAACCAAACACAAGAAATGTGTCACATCATCCAACTCATTACATCTCATCTTATCTCATTTCTCAAAATCACACACATCATCCAATAATATTGTGACAATTCATCTCATCTCATTAAACCTTCCTTTCCATCCATTTCCTCAAAAAAAAAATAAGAAATTAATTTCCTTAAGTATGTGTCACATCATCCAATAATATACCTCCAACTCATCTCATCTCATCTATTTTCTTATTTTTAAAAATGAACCAAACACAAACAACATCAAAACATCATCCAATAATATACCTCCAATTCATTTTCTTATTTTTTTTTAACCAACCAAACAACCTCAAAACAAGTTTTTTTTAAAAATCACTCATATCATCCAATAATAAGGTGACAACTCATCTCATCTCATCTCCTATTCTATAGTTTTCTTCTTTTTTAAGCCAACCAAACAACCTCAAAACAATTATTATAGGAAATAGGTTTCCTATTCTTTGATTTCCCATTTTTTTGCGAAACGAACAGCCCCTAGGGGATTTGGATGTCTCCCTCATTTTCTAAAAACGATTTTCCTTCACATTTTTTGTATTTTCTTTATTTTTATGGAAACTTTTTCTTGTGTTTGTTTCGCCAAAAAATATGGGCTGAAAGTACTTTTCACCACTTTTCTTGGTTTGGTTCAACTTGAAAAAAAAACAATTGATATGTGAATAGATTCCCTCATTTTCTAGTGTTTGGTTCAAACTAAAAAATTAAGAAAACTTGATTGTGATCACCACGGTGTGATTACCACCCTTATAGGATAAATTTATTTCCAACATAAATTGAGAGGTGAACATATATCAACCGTCATATAAAAATATTTAAAATTTTGAGGGATTTGTTTGCAATTTTTAAAAAAGATTTGAGGTAATGATTTGCAAAATATTCAAAGATTTGAGGGCCTAATTCCAAAATCATATAATCATGTCATAGAAGAAGAACCAAAATGCTCAATGAACATGATTTGAAGAAACCTGATGCTAAAGAAAAAAAATATGCTCAGTTATAGCCATTTTCTTCATTGTATGTTCCGCCATGAAATTTATAATAGCAATGTAGGTTGTATGTATTGCATTGCCAATTGATTACTAGTATAGATTTGGGCTGCATACATTAAAAAAAGACCATCATCATGGCATAATATCATATTATCAGTGTCATAACAACCAATGCCAAGAACTAAAATCCAAGCACCAGGTCATATAACCAAGAACTAACAACCAAGCACCAAGTTATGAAAACTAGCATGTAATGCACAAATAACTAGCACAAAGGAAACCAAACCAAGGCTAAAAGCAAGGCCGAGACCAACATTGGCTGGAAACACACTTGGCAAGCACACAACCGATGGGGGTAAATTCACAAAGTTCTCCAACAAGGCCAACAAAGAACTGTCACATTATCTTGCTAATGGGGCAAAACGCATTGGTATAAAGCTTGGCAATCTGTAATGAAACCAAAGGCCAAGTACACAACTGAAACCAAAGGCCAAGCAACAACTGAAACCAAACATAGGTGACCAACACATCACAACTGAATCATTGGCTGTACACAACCAAAATATTGCTGAAAATTAAGACAAGTAAGCACACAACTGAAGTCCAAGGACCAATACTACAGAGTATCAACTGGCAAACATATCCTGGAAACCTAGTATGCACCAACACAATAAGCAACCAAACGTATTCTGGAAATTCAGACAAGTTGGAACAAAAGTGAAACCACATGCAAGCACACAACTGAAACCTGGGGCCAAGCCAACAATTCAAACTAAATGCCAAGCAAACAATTGAAACCAGTTTGCACATAACTGAAATCGAATGCCAAGCAAACAATTGAAAACAAACACCTAGCAACAACATTGAAACCAAGATCATAACCAACACAACTGAAATAAAACATTTGCTGGAAATGAATAAGGCAAGCACACAACTGTGCTCAAACAGCCCAAGAGCTGAAATCAAGGCTGAGAGAAAGGCTGAAACCAAGAGGCTGAACATTGGTTGCAAATTCCCAATGACATAACAACCATTTCAATCAATTCCTTACCAACACAGCTGAACATTTGCTGCAAATTCAGACTGCTTACCAACACAACACAAGTGAAACACGTGGGCTGATATTCAGATAATCAGATATGCAAGCACACAACTGAATATTGCTAGAAATTCAGACAAGTTTGCACACAGCAAAAACCAAAAATTAACCAAAGGCCAAGCCTCAACTGAAACCAATACAAAAAATGATGGAAATTCAGTTCAGTACATACTCACGATGTGCAAATTCAGACTGCTTAAGAACAGTGACCTATTCTCAAATCCCCAAATAACCACAAAATCAACCCCAAAAAACGACTCTTCAAGAACAGTGATCGCGTTCTCGAGAAAACGGATGAAGATCGAGCTCGCTTGCACAAGAGATTGACATCAAGAAGTGAGAACGAGGGCTGGAGGAAGAGGAAAAGGTGCGAATTTGATGTGGGAAATTGGATTTTGGGGTGGAAGCGAGAGCAAGCAGGGCTCAAGAAAGGCGGTGGAAATTTGGCAGGAAAGAGAACGGGCAGTTGATCTTAACCCTAGGGTAAAAGGAGAGGGGGGAAAATCTGCGGCTTCATTCACTTTCCAGCAAAATCGAGGGTTTGGGGACGAAAACAATCTTTCCCCCAAATCCCACGTATATCCCGTTTTCTGTCCCACTTTCTTTGGCCCCTTAAAACGAACCAAATACTCACAAACAAAGAAAATTGACAGTTTTTTCCTTATCAGTTTTCATTTTGAGATTTTCTTTACTTTTTTTTACTAACCAAACAGACCCTAAGGGTGTGTTGGGAAACTTAGAAAAGAGATTTAGGTAAGTCTAGCTTTCTTCTATATGCGCTGAAATTAGTCCGAATAGAGAATGGTTTAAGAAATAACTAGCTTAAGGCCTAGATTTTAAACTAAAGAAAGCTAATTCAACTTTGGCCCCATTGTTTCTAAATTAAAAACTAACTTTTGTATCAAAGTTGTACTCATTAAAACTAGTTTTGTGGAGTTGCTAAATTCACCCTTGCCATGATACAAGATTTTGAGATTCTTTAACTAATCAAAAACTTTATCTTAAAAATTTATGGAAATTTTAAACATTATGTATGTGCATTGTGGAAACAATTGTCTTTTCAAAGTATGGTTCTTAATCCTGACATAAGTACATCCTTTTCTGCAGTGATGGAGCTATGATTCTTTTTTTTTTGGGGGGGGGGGGGGTTTGGGGGGTGGGGGCAACACACAACTATTACACTATAAATCAGCCAAACAAGGGCAACTATGATAATATATAATAAATTTTCATCTATGTAAATTGGTGAAAGAAGAACAGAGAATAGAAATAAAGAAAAAAGAAGGCTTTATTTTAATCGGGTATGAGGTAATATTATAATTAATGAATTTGTTAATTAAGTCATTTAATCTTTCTTCTCGTTGACTCATAGCTTAATTAGTTAATTGTTCTCTCCCACAGACCCACAACTCTTTTCTATATTTTTTTGAAATTTGAGTCTCCAATAGTAAGTAGAACTAGCAATTAGAGGAACTAACTTGAAGAACATATAAGAATGGGGGCACATTATACCAATTTTAATAATTTGAGGAATTTCAAATTAACTAAAGAATTCGACATAGTGAAAAGTTAATTGATTTAAGGGATTATTTCAAATATGAAGGGTTAATTGCAAAAGTATGTGAACATAAAAATTTCATTGCACATATATATTTGTCAATGTAAAACTTTATGAAATTGGAAGAACCTCGTTTCACTATTTTCATTATAAAATTGAAAAACTATATGAAAATTTAAATCATATTTCAAATTTCCACTAGTAAATGCAAAAGTAAATGAAATTTGAGATCTCATTTTTCCAATATACTTGGAATGTAAAGAAAAATACATGAAATTGTGATGTGTAATATACATGGTTATTTCCATATTAGTCCCCTACATCTTTTGAACAGCTTAAAATTAGTCTCTCTATTTAGAGGATGGTTGAAATTAAGAGAATATTTTATCATCTTTTACAGTTTTGGGTATAATACAATTTATAGTTATATCCATTCAAATCCAAAACCCAAAAATTTCACTAGAGTACAAGTTGACATAGATTACATTTGACTTAAAACTCTTGACTTTGGTAGATTTTAATGTTGATTTTGGTAATTAGTAATCTCTATCTAGTTGTTTATGTCAAAAAACTTAATTATG